TTTTGAACTTCAGTGGATGAAGCATTATTTCCCTCATACTCTCACAATAATATATCATGTTAACTATCTTTTTCCATTTTGAAGTTTTTTTAAATTTTTTTTGTTGTTGTTTGTAACCATGCCCTACGTGTAATCGTTATCTTGTTCCAACAATTGAAAATAAGTTTACGGTTGCGTACCGTATAAAAATGGGTTTAAAGGGTTATTTTTGATGATAGAGGTCAAGTTTACATATGACTCATAAATTCATTTTTTTCTCAGTTTTATACCGAAGTTAATGAATATATCTCCTGAACCTAATTTGAAAAAAACGTTGGAGCTTAAATTGCGTAAGTTTTCAGGGAATTCCATAAATGATTATTTTTTATCCATATCGTCAAAACAAAAGGAACTGCGAAGCAATATCAGTGGAAAATTTCACCTATACTGTTTTAGGTTGATTATATATTCAGAAAAGTATGGAACGCTAAATATTGAAAAAAATTGCCTTATCTGATTAATTTTTACAGTTCAAAATAGACAGATGACTACTGGTTGTGTTGTTCCACCCCAAGTGATAAAAATCTCTCGAATCAAATGGCTTTTATCAACCTTTCAAGAATGAGGCTCAACGAAATTGGAGATAGATCTGCTTCAGTTTTTGACGTAGAATTGAATCAGTTTCTTGTTCAAACCCCAAAAAGTCGTAAACTTCAGGCATTTTACCCAATCAAATGAAGGATGGATAGATTTGGGTAAAAAGTTTCAATCAAATTTTTCGAGGTCCGCGTTTAATTTGCTGGCCAAAATTTGTTTTTTTTTTCAGAAGTTTGCCAATAAGAAATGTTTTTGCGACACAGGAAGTAACAGGTTGTTAACCGGAGCATCCCAAATCAAATATTCAAATATCGGGACTGGAACAACCTAAGAATGGAATTACTCGAGGTGAATTATTTTTCTGCATCTATTGGTGAAACAAGACAAATTATAATCATTAAAAATTTTATACAGATCAAAAGAACAATGACGCGACCAGCGAAACGATCTTTGAAGGTAAATTGACGCGACTTAGTAAATGGAGAATCAGATCATTCAATAATGACCATTCGTCTTTTTCTAATGTTATAAAACATAACTTGATTGAGAGTTTGGATCTACTTAACAATCGACCCCCACCCCCTCCCGCCTCTATGGTATCTACTAAAGAACTTCAACCCCAATAAATAAATACAGTAAATTATTGTCAGTGGATTCCGCAGCCAAATGTTCCTTCTGGCACTGGATTCTACAAGCATATTTTTTACAATTGCAATATATATCGGACGCTTTTTCTCAACACCTGATTTATATAAAGAGTAATAAACGTATCCCCTTCAACTTTGGAAGTTTCTCTTTATTTAGAAGTAAGAAGACAAATTATATCAGCAAGTGAGACAATTTAAACATCTCAATTTTTCACAAAAGAGAATCAAAATTCCCCTTTTATTGCCCCCTTTTTCGCTCATGAGAGAAGTTCGAAGTTCTTTCCTGGTTAGCTTCCCCTATGAGACAGATGTTCTAATTGCTGAGGGGGGGGGGGGGCTCAATTATAATTGAATGTTTATACTGACCGTCTCTAAGTTTCAAAAACGCTCAGTTGCAATTGAATCAAAAGGGTTCATAACTGCTTTTCGAAGCAGTAAAAACCACTCTTTATCGATTATAACAGATAAATTTCATTTTAGTTTCAATCTTTTTTTTTAATGTCGGGGGGTTGGTGTTAGGGGGATATGGTAGACTTTCTGGATCTGAAAAGCACGAACATGCAATGTCAGATCTTCCCCATCATTTTTGAATAGAACAAACCATTTTTGGTGGCTGAGAGTTGGATGTAGGTTGGGGGGAAGACATGGTCGGGAGACGTTGTGGGAGGAGGTAAGTGGGGGGGGGGGGGGGCATCGCCGAACATGAGGATGAGCGTGTTAGATCGGATTCGAGTTTTGCAGATTCACAATGCAGGTTAGCAATTCAATATTCAGGTTAGCAGACTGATCAATATTCACGGGTTTTTGGAAAAAAAAAAACAATTGATTATCTTGAATACGAAAATGGATCATGAGCAATTTAGATAGTTTTTTAAAAAAATTTGCTATTAGAAAAAAAATCAATTACAACGGACTCCATATTCATTATATGGAATTAAACAACAAAAATCCATTATAATCTATTTTTACCAATGAAAATTCCCCGTGGGAACCTTATTACCGTCTCATCTGACTATGATTGATTAAAAATGGGTTATAATGTGTCCATCATTCTCCGAGCAATAAAATTATCAATTGTTTACAATATAATTTCGATTTTTTGAAAGAATTATAATCCACTTTAATTGAATATAATGGATTATTATCCAAGTTTTTTTAATCTTTTTTTTTAATGAACTGTTTTCTTTTGTTTTTTATTTTAATTTTTATTTAGCATAGGCGTGTGGGAGGACGTGTTGGAGGACGTGTGGGAGTTCATTTTGGTTCAGGTTTTATAGAGAGCTGCATAATGTTAAGTAAACAATTCAGATCTACAGAACTTGGTTTTCATGGTTTTTATAAAGAAACATTCGATTATACTGAAATTAAAATGCATTATAATTAAATTTGATGGTGCATAATGGATTTTTGTTTTCAAAAAAAAGGAAGAATTATAACTGACTGAAAATCCATTACGTCTACTGAATTTGCCACACAAATCTCTTATCGCGACAACACTATTATCAACAAAATCCGATTACAATCAATTTTTACCAAAAAACTTCCGTGTGGGAAGCCTCATACTTCGTTGCATTTCAAATTTGACTATAGATTTTGACAATAGATTTCTCACAATAGATTTTTCTTCAAATCAAAGAAAAGATCTCTTAGACAGTTTAGTATTGTGGTATAATAGTTAATAATTGTAATACAATGCTTGAAAACCTGCAAAATTATCCTGCAATGCTTGCAAATTTGAGGAAATCTGAGAAACGGTTTTTTCTATGTTGCTCTCAAAAAAAGTGTAACTTTTTTTGCTGACTTCCAGAAACTTATCAAAGAACTAGCGAGAACTATAAGTATTTAAAAAAAAAATTTTGTAGCGAGAAAAGTTCTGGCCTGTGAACTAAATTTGATCGGGTCTAGGGCAAACATCCGAAATTAAAATCATCCTAACTTCATAATCATATTCGAACGCAAGACATAACTCAATTAACCGATTCCAACTTAGCAGCCCGCAATGGAGTTCCATGAATAAAAATTGATTATAATTGAGTTTCCTTGTCCTTGGGTGGTATGTGGGTTCAGGTGGGGAGTTGTTCAGGCGGGGGGTGTTTAGGTGGGGGGGGGGGGTTCAGTGGGGGGAGAGGAGCAAAGGGACAAACTTTAGGGGGATTGAAGGGGAGCGAAGGGGGAAATATTAGGTTTTGAAATGGATTAGGCCAGGCCGTACACTCGCTTTGCAAATTTTCCGCATCACTCACTTGATAAATGCTGAAATTCTTGCAAAATTTTGCACGACGCGAGAAACAAAAAAAAATAAAGTGGAAAAAAATCCATTTTAATGTGATTTCCTACTTATTATAAAATCCGTTATAATGGATTCAAAAATTATTATAATGCTTTTTGTTTTGGCGAGAAAAAATGGATTTAAATCCATTTTTAGTCCAATTTTGTTGTCTGAACGTAACACGGGAATCGATTATATTTACAACATTATAGACCACGAAAATCCATTATAATCAATTTCTTTTCATTTTTCTTAAATGCGGGAGACTTTCAGTTTAGGGTCGTCGCTGGGTCGTCTCTATGTGCGCGTCGCCAATTGGCGGACAAGCGTTACTCTAATTTTCATTAGGGTAACGCTTGTCATCTTTCGGGAAGCTCGCCACACGTTGGAGCAACTAAGGCAGTCACTATTAACTCGGCCAATGCAGTTTCTAGGCGAAATCAGAGTTTTCCCTAAAATGGCAAAGGACTGCGCTTGTAAAACTCTTTTTGGATGCTTTTACACTTTTTATTGGATACTTTTTGAACACTTTTTATTTTTAGGTTATCTGACATATCGGGTGTTTGCAGTTTTAAATTTGCAGTTTTTTGGACTTTAATTGATTTTGAGACTTTAATATTCCACAGCTAGAAAAAATGTCTTCAAAAACGAATAATTTTGATGAATTTGAGGAATTAGGGGAAACGGAATCTTTATGTGGCTGTCAAAGATAACTTACTAAAGTCTGCCGAATTCCTGAAATTTATATTAGTCCTTCAATACTTTCAAAATTCTTATACGGTACTTCAGACAGATGCTATTGTAATTAAATGGAGAAG